GATCAGGCAGTGGCCCCCTGCATAGCCACACACCTCAGAGTGGTCACGCTCCCTCTAGTATCCTGCCTTGCCCAATTCTTTCTCCTGAGTTTGTGGGTTTCTGAAAACATTAAAAACACATTTTCTGTTTTGTCTCCCACGACGGTGCTGTCCCTTTTCTCGGGGCCTGATTTCGGTAGCTTGTCCATACTATGTCTCGCTGGGTGCGTGACGTACTTTTCATGCTTTCACATGCTAATCAACAGGGAATTTTACAAATTATTTTCAGAGTATAAAACGAAGGCCAAACATAACTGAAGAAACACTGGTGTCTACAACAAATCACAATTCACCTTTTTAAGCACTTACAAGGACTGAAATGATAGCATATCTTCCCTCTTCACAGTGGTGGAAAGTCAGAAACTTTGAAAAGGTGATTAAAAACTATTCACTCTTCAAATTCTTGAGGAAAATTACGTGGAATGTGTCACCTGATTTTCCCATACGCAGTCAGCAGTGTTCTCCTTTTTATTATTATGGTTATAGGAGTATCGACAAAACACTGCTTACACTCAAACATCAATTTTAGCACACAGAGAAAAGTCCTTTCGATACACTATTAAATTTGAAGCAATGGGAGATGAACTGTACCCGGGATGATGAGAAAATAAAGGAGAAAGCCCTCTGGTCTGAGTGATTTAGGCCTCTGGAAGACCTAGCAGGACCAATGGGACAGCTCATAAACCCCTAAATCACTCACGTGTAGAAGACCCGCCTCTACCGCACCCAGGCAAAGCCTCACTGAGCACAGTCCCACCTGCCTGATTTGCTCAGGCCCAGGGCCAGTGGTTTGGGCACTGTTTTTTGCCGAGGACCACCAGCCTTCTAGCCTGTAAGGTCATTATCATGGGTTCCCAGGCCAGTGTCAAGCCATAGGAGCTTTGGAATCTGCCGAATTAAATGTCAAATCCCCTCTGCTCTCCCCATCGCCATACCTGAGGCAGGAACATAGCACAGTGTATCCCCACAAGTAATCATACATTGCAGGCTTGATATTCTGTCGTGATTTTCACCAAGGACATACTGGAGTGAAATGCCCCACCTTGACTCCAAGGGAATTCAAACCTTTCTGGGTTAACAATCCTCTTCAAAGGAGGTTTGTTTAACCCGTGCTTATTCTACAATTCACCTTGAGAATGGCCAGTGGGTGGGTTCTCCACAGCTGATTTTTGGAATCTTGGAGCTACCATGGAATTCCCTGGGACAATTTCCCTGGGGTTCAGCTTGGCTCATCACCCCCCCTCTCTTTTATTCCTGTCCAAGTGGCACTGTATCCCCTTAACTAAGCTTGGGGACCCACTGAATTTAAATACTTAGAAGTTTTTGTCAAGCAGGTCTCCCTCTACAAAGTCCAAGGAACGGTACAGGCACTCCTACTCTGGGTTCTACTTCTGTCCATCCTCCCACCCACCCATTCAGAGCTATTCACTGCACACTTAATCTAGCATACAAGTCAAACTCAGATCTGATTCTTAGCTAGGCCACTTACTTAGTTGTGGGAGCTTGGGTGGTAGTTAACCCAACCTCTCTGAGCCTCACACTTCTTGACAGGGAGAATTACACTTACCTGTCCAAGAGGAAAATATAAGGGCAAAGGGTAAGTACTAGACATATGTGTATAACATATGCAGCCGAGTGCCTGCCACATAGAATCATATAGTGCTCAATTAAAAAAAAATGTTTACTATGACGATTTCTATAGAGCTGGCTACTGAAAGGTGAGGAGGGATAAAATGTGGCCCCCAAACTCTGTGACATTACAATTGAATGGAGAGCTAGCACAAGCATACTCCTGAATGGTTGGCAGTAGAAGGCTGCATCTGATCCCGAGCATGACGCATGCATCATGGCGTTTCAGAGAATAGGAAGAGAAAGAGGCAGGGAACTCACGGTAGGCCTCTACCAGGCACTGCACCTGTCATGCTACGTCTATTCTCTCATTCAGTCCTAATCACAGCCCTTCTGCAAGGGCGTTGTAAATAGTACACCCATTTCAAAGTTGAAGGTCCTGAGGCTCAAGGAGAGAGAAGTCACTGTAGGCTGGGATGGTCAAGTCATCTTCACAGAGAAGGTAGGATTTGAGCCAAGACTGGGAATGTGAATAGGATTAGGAAAGGGAGAGGGTGAGGGGCCGAGGCTTCATGGGAGTGAGGAGGAACAGCTGGCCCACAAAGCGCTGAGTCGGCAATTCCCAAAGCCAGCGAAGTAACGAGGCACTTTCCACCTGCTCCCTAGCAACTTCCCATCACAACTCGGAGCTGCGTTATCTCTGCCACTTCACTAACGTGAGGCTCCGGAGGGAAAAGTCATCCAGCCTTATCTCGCTGTCAGCCCTAAGCAAACAGATGGGGCCAAGGCAGCCAGGAGAGCGTGTCCATACAGCTGTCTGGCAGCAAGTCTCCCCCCCACCCCTCCGGTTGCCTGAGGGCTTGAATCTCAGGCCTGAGAATAAGTATAACCTCCATTCGCTGGGCACTCCATCGGCATTGTCTCACTGAGTCCTCACAACAGTCTTGTAGACCCTATTCAACAGAGGAGGAAACTGAGGTCCAGAGAGGCCAAGTCACTTACCCAAAGCACCACATCTAGTAAGAGGGACAGCTGGAGTTTCAACCCAGGTCTAATCTGACTCCAAAGCCTGTGTCCTTAATCACTCTTGCTGTGGAGCCTGGTGCTACTAGCTCACAGCAGTTCCAGGACCCAAACAGACACCGTCACCATGTTGTGTGCCTTTTCCTTGTTAATGCAGCTTCGCAACTCTATTTGTCTCCAGAAAACAAAGGCACCAGAATTCTGAGGAGAACAAATCAAGAAAAGGTGATGCATTCTCATTTTCCCACTCACCGTTGTGCTCTCCAAATCCCCAAGCCCCGAGAGATGTTCTTACTCTTTCCCCAGGTCTTTTCCCTTAAAGGGTGTCCACACACCCTGATTTTCCCTGTTGTCCCAGCACAATTATTTGTAGTGGGCCTTTTATTCTCAAAAGTGTCTGCATTAATTGGACAAGAAATTACAAGGTCACTGTCCCTATGAAGAGGCGAAGCAGCCTCACACATCATGTCCTTTTGCAACCCTGACACACCTGCCAGGCAGTGATCTGCAGCTCCCCTGAGTGAGTGTGGAGTCTGACCTGGGGGGAGTAGCCAGCCTCTCCATGAGGATGGAATAAGGAATAAACAAATTATAAATGTGCCTTTTGAGGGCTTTCTGAGTACATTCCAGCTTGCTGGTCATAGAGTGGTCAAGAAACAGGGGTAGAAGAATGCCTGGAATGCAGAAATTGCCCTAGTTGGGGGCCAGTGGGGTTGAGCACAGTGGCCCTCTCAGCACAGCTGTGCGGCAAACATGTGGAGCATAGAGAGTTGAGGACTCAAACAAAAACACGTGAAGGAAAGACTAATTAAGGGGTCAAGCCCACTCTCCTAGCCCACTCTGCTTTGCCTTAAAGCAGAGTCCAGCTAAGCCCTGGGTGTGGGCGGCTACAGGGAAACTGAAGCCCCCAGGACACAATCGGACTTTGGGGAGCCTTGAAGAAGCACATGGCCAAGGGTGCAGAAGTCATGAGAAATCAGAGCTCTGACATGCTGGTGACCGTGCTTGTGAGACCGCATGGGAAAGGACCTATTTCCTTCCCAGAATGCTAACGTGATTTAATAGTGGAAATTTTATTAACGTGATTTAATAATGGAAAATTTATTAATGTGATTTATATGAATAAGCAGAAAGGTAAAAGACATGTTAAGCTCAAAAGTTGCTACACTGCCTTGAGTGAATGTTTGGTAACTGCTAGATACCTAACATGCTCAGAAACCAAAGAAAGATGGTACTGTGAGAACATGGACCTCAAATGAAAACCCAATACGATGTTTGCTGATGAAATGCTACTGTCATTCCTCTTGAGAGTTAGTAAGGTGACAAGATAATTTCCTGACAGCACTATGATTTGGAAGTTTTGATGAACAATAGGCATTGAAATTTTACAACTCTGGATGATACTGCTGTACTAGGTGGCAGAATGGGACTAAAACAAGTAAATGAAGTTATTAGGAAAATAATTTTGACAATAAAGACCCCTAAAAAGGCTGACCTAGAGATATAACTAATAGAAACGACCATTTAGAAGAGTGGTGAAATAAAATATGGTTAAGTAAAATCCATGATCTTCCTTGGAAAAAACTGCACTAGAGACATATATTCATGTAGATTTGATAATGTTTGATAGTGTTTCCTTCACCATAAAAGGGTTTTTAAAAGAGGAAGAATGGCACAGGTCCAAAAACTAGAGCACATCCCACTTTTGTGAGCTACAAGTCTTTTCCCGCCAAGTGAGTGGCTCTGAAAAGGGCCTTTGGTCTGCGATGCTCAGGTGGTCCGGAGGCAGCTCATTTGCTGGTGGTCTATCTGCTGACGGCCTTGGTGGCCTCAGACACGGCGTGCTTGCCCATCTCCCCAGGCAGCAGCAGGCGCATGGACGTCTGGATCTCTCTGGAGCTGAGGGTGGAGCACTTGGTAGAGTGGGCCAGTAGGGAAGCATAGCCTCAAATGCACTTAATGATATCTTTAAAAATAATTCACGATGAACATAACGTTCAATTAAATTCCAAAATTAGTGAGAAAGTGCTTCACAACCTGGTAGACACAGGTGGACATGGGAGTGCAAAGTCTGCTCCTCGTAGACATAGGGGTGCTCCTGGAAATCAAGGGAATAATTGGCCAACCATTGTCTCCAGGTATGAGCAAAACCCTCAGGGCATCAGAAAATGAAAAATGGCAAAATCACAGCCTCCACAGAGAGAATACAAATGGAAATATATTACTCACAAAATTATTTAATATCTACCAAATTTAAAAATTGGTTTTTTTAACATTAATTATGCTCTGAAAATACCCCACATGCTGAATATATATAATACCTGTTGGTTGAAAAACAAAACAAAACAAAACATTACCCTATTCTTTAAGAAACCAACATAGGGAGAAAAAATGGAATCAGTAAATGGGAAATATTTAAAAATGAAAATCAAATTACTTTCAAGAGTCCAGGTTAATACAATCAAAGGCATACTTAAATGTATTTATGTAGAAATAAATTACAGAAGTTGAACCAAAAAGGGACTTTAGAAAAATTGAAGAAATGGGTGTCATCAGTGTGGTTTCATGCACAGTGACTAGGCGTCTAATCATGTTTCCTCTTGGACATTTAAGGGACAGCTAATTCTACTGCCAATAGAATGGTTTCAGTCATGAAGGAGGAAAAGCTAATTTTTATTACTAGAAAATGTAACGGAATGATACAAGCAGTGAAGAAAACTTACTATTCCAATTTCTGAAGAGCTCCATTTACAAATGAAGGTATAAAAATCTTACTTGAAATATTAGTAATCAACCTCTTGCCATATTTGATGCAAGGGACAAAAGACCGTCCAGCGCAGTCTCTGAATTCATATCATTAAATCACCATGATTAAACACCAGCCAGCAAACAAACCACAGGGAATGAAACGTTCCACTATACTCCATAATCTCTAAAGGCCAAATCTCCCAAGAAGGCTGTTACTGGATTACACTGTGTCACATTGTAACATTTGGCCCAATGGCAAAGAATCATATCCCTTTCCCCTCTCAATCTCAAAGGCTGCATGTGCCGGGAAGACTCCTATTACTTCAGCCCAGGACACCTCCTCACACTTTTGAGTCAATGGCTGTACCTCAGGAGCTGCAGGCTTTTCATTGGCTGAGCCGGTCCAGAGTGGTGCTTGGGCTGCTCTGATTGGACACTTCCAGCATCCCCATGATGCCGAGGTGCAAGACATGAAGGTTTCCGTTTTCCAAAAACAGGACAATGTACTCTTGAGGGAAAAAAAAAACAAATAAGATTAATCTGAACCAGTCAGAAGTGTAACTTCAGTTTCTTCCACCTTGGATAGTTACTGTTTCTTGAACATTTTGCTTTAGTTATTTCCGTGCTGTGTTTGGGTCCTTGATTCTGCTTTTAAATGATTTCCCTGATGCAAGTCATGTTGAAAAAGTTTGAATGGGGTATGTTTGTCCTGCTAATAGTATTTTCTCAGAGTTGATGTTTATCTTTTATTATTTAAGCAGTAAAGCTCTTTCCCTTAGTTTATCATTTCAGTAAACCACACTGTTAGATCATGATTGCTCACTAGGTGCCCTTTCTCCTTAATTACCTTCTGAAGTCAATAATCACATGTACTTATTTGGCCTTAGCCTCTTCAACATTAACCCCGTTATTCCTCTTTCTTAGATTTCCTTGAGCTTTACCTAGAGCTCTCTTGTCATCTGAAATTTTGTTCCACGTGTGGAAGATCATCCTGAGGTACCTGCGGGATTTACCTGCGGATACTTTGGTGGTAGTTTTCCTTGGTCTCCTTGAGAGTCAAATTCTTTATCTGAAATATGTTCATAAGATTCATATCATGTTCAAGAATATAAATAAATAATATTCCCATTCCGGTGGCTCATTTAACATAAATCCTTAGTCTGATGGCCCCAAGGACAGTTCTTGGGGGGTACTGGACAATCGAGTTCTATCAATACACTGAACCAAAGGAAAAAAGGCCTTTACAGTCCTCCTCGATCAGGCAATGGCCCCCTTCATAGCCACACAACGCAGAGTGGTTAAGCTCTCTCTAGTTTTCTGCCTTGCCCAATTCTTAATCCTGAGTTTGTGGGTTTCTGAAAACAAACACTTTCTGTTTTGTCTTTCCAGGACGGTGCAGTACCTCTTTTCAGGGCCTGAAGAAGAGTTCTCATTTCTGTAGGTTGTCCATATTTGTCTCACTGTTTAGCTGAGTGACATCCTTTTCAGGTTTTAGCATCCGAATCAATAGGGAAATTTACATTTTTTTTCAAAAGCAAAAAAGGAATACCAAACAAAACTCAACAAACGTTGTTCATCAAATCACAATGCATTTATAGGGACTACGATGAAAGAGTTTCTTCCCCCTTCACCGAGGTGGAAAGTCAGAAACATATTGAAAATAAATAAAACTATTCACTGTTCAAATAGTTGAGGAAAATTACATGAGAGGGTTCACCTTATTTTCTCTTAAGCAGTCACGAGTGTTCTCTTTCTATTTTTAATCTAAGTATCTACAAAACGTTGCTTAAAATGAAACATCAATTTTAACACACAGAGAAAAGTCCTATCTATGCATTCCTAATTTTGAAGTGATGTGATATGAACTCTACCAGGGACGATGAATAAAGAGAGAAGGGCTACGCGAAAATCCTGAGAAATACCACCCAGGTCAGCAGAAGCATTCAGCTGACCTGTAGATACATGAGAAACAATAAATAATTGCTGCTTTAATCCACTAAGTATTGAAGTAATTTGTAATGCAGCAATCACTAAATGATACACAATTATGAAAACATTACATTTTTTCCAGATTGCTCAGGGTTTTGAATGCATTTATTCATCAAAATTATCTGTTTAAGTAAGACTTTCCATCAATAATCTATGCTTACATGTGTTGGAAGAATTCAAAAACTGTAACTATAACACCTCATAAACATCAAACCAGTATTTATAGGAGAAGAGAACCAGTGTTCTCTTAATATAATGGAAGAGTCAGGAGATATGCCCACCTATAACTCAAAACTCATGTCTTCTGTGGGTTGAATACTCTCTCCCTAAAATTCCTATGTTGATGTGCTAAACCCAAATACCTGATATGTGATTGTATACAGAGATAGGATCTCTACTGGGAAATCAAGTTAAACTGCCTCCATTAGGATGATCCTTAATACAATATGACCTGTATCCATATAAAAGGGGAAGTATGGACACAGAGACTGTCATATAGAGAGAAAACTGTGAACAGAGAGAGGAGTTTCTCTGCCATCTCCACAAGCCAAGGAGAGAGTCCTGGAACAGAGGCTTCCTTCTCAGCAGTCTGAAGGAACCAAACCAGCTGACATCTTGATTTGGACTTCCGGCCTCCAGAAGTGTGAGACATTATGTACCTGTCCTTCAAGTAAAGGGACCTCTGGCATTTTGTATATCAGCACCAGGTAACCACCACCATTAGAAACATACAACCAAACAAGCAAAGAAGCAAAGAGCAGGCAAATAATCAAACCCAATACCGTTCTTTTTTTTTTTTTTTTTTTACCAAGGCTGAGCATCCAGGAAAGAACTGACTTCTTCAGCCCAGAAAACCAGCTTGAATTCCGGACCAGTAGCTGTAGCTCACCGTTGCTGGTCTCTCATTGACTGACTCAGAGGCGAATGGTGCTTGAGCTTCTCTGATTGGACCTCCCATCATCCGAGGCCTATATCACCAAGGTTTTCAAAAATAGTAAAGCCTGGAAAAGAATAGACACAGATTACCTGAAGAAGTTAGAGTAGACCCTTCAGTTCCAAGATTAAATATTTTCCGGGTAGATTAGAATCTGGGATAGATTTTTTTCCCTTGAACTTTTTGGTTTACTTATTCGTTTGCTGTGTTTGGATCCACACTTCAAATGAATTCCATAACATGGGTAGTGGAGAAGAGAGTTTGAATGGGATATTTTTGCCCTAGCAATACTATTTTCCATGCGTTGATGGTTCTAATTTGTGGATTAAACATTACACTCTTTTCCTCAGGCTGTCTTTACAGTAAACCACACACACAATTAGATCGCAATTACTCACTAGGTACCCTTCTTTCTGCAAGAACCCACGGAAGTGTGTAATCACAATCTCTCACTCCCCCTTCCCATCTTCAACAACGAAAATCACAAAATTCCCTTTATCTTCTTATCTTTCTAAATTTCATATGTGTTGCTCACCCTTGCATGCCCAGCCTTCACTCTCCAGGCCTATTATGCACATTAGGTAAACATATTACCTATTATATAATATGTATCAATAATGATCCTATTTCATTTCTGATTTCACAAGTGCAAAACACCCAAAGCACAATAGCAGTGTCCTGGTCTATTAGAGCTCTTATACTTTTTACAGAGACCATAGCCTTGAGACCAGCATGCAAAAATAACCTTGGTAATGAATCTCTGTTTCATATGGAGAGAAACTGGCATTTTGAAGCAGGAACCATTAGCATGATAGACATTAAGTGATTTTCTGAGGTCAACTCTTTTCAAAGTGGTCCACACTTGTTTCTCAGAAAAGGCACTTGGCTCTACCAAGAGTTTGGAGTTCTGAAATTTTTTTCCCAGTGTGTACGACAATTACTACTTCTTACACAGAGGAAGGTATGCGCCTGATTTCATGGTAGATTTTAATGGCAAGTTGTGCAGCAAGCGCTCCTTTTTTTCCAAACCCTTTTAAGTTTCATCTTTCCCAAATAATAATAAGTAATGAACTTCATGAGGGGGCTTATTGGCCAAAATCCTAATTCTACTGATCTCAAAGAGAGCGCTGGAGGTAATATTGGCCCCTTTCATACTTGCAATTTTCTGTGAACTCTCTCTTCTGTCTTGTCCTGTCCCCCAGTTTGCTCTTCAGCAAGTGGTGCTGTGTCCAAGGTAGAATACTTTGTTTTTTGTCTCTCCACAGAATGAGCCCAGAAATTTTTGAACTTTGCAACTTATATAGCTTTTGTCTCATTGTTTTCCTGAGAGAGACATCCTTTACTACCTTGTACATCCCAGTCAAAAGGATTATTTACAACTTATTTTACATGTTCAAATGAAACACTTCACAATCATGAGGAAGTACTGGGCTTTAAAGCAAATCCGAATATATTGCACAAGACCGAACTCCCACAGAACGTCCTCTCTCTGCAGTTGTAGGAAGCTAGAAATCTGTTTTAAACAAGAAATAGAAAATCAGCAACTTCTTTGAAATTTGGCAATACACTTATACAAAAATGACACAAATAAAAATCTTCATGGGACATGAAGAAAACACAGTGGAAAAGAACAGATATGAACCTTAACATTCAAACCACTTGAGGTAAAAGGAGACATATTAGGTCTTCTATTGCTGATAAACCTCCTCTAAACTGATGCAAGGGGCTGAAGAATGACCTCCTCTGGATTTTAGTCCTTAAATCCCCATGATTAAATATAAGTAAGGAACCAAAAAAAAAAAAAAGCAAAGTTCCACAGTTCCTTTCCCCTTAATTTCCAGTTTGATTATCATACAAAGGCTATTATCTGTTCAGCCCTGGTCACTGGACAACATTTGGGGCCAATGGCTGTAGCTCACAGGCTGCCAGTCCCCCAGTGGAGACAGGAGCTTGAGCTCCCCTCACTTGACACTCTCCAATGGATATAAAATTGCAGAGATAGGATCTTTACTGGAGGAATCAAGTTCCACTGCATTCATTAGGATGGTCCCTAATCCAAAATGCCCTGTATCCATATAAAAAGGGGGAAATATGGACACAGAGACCCTCACATACGGGGGAATCTGTGAAGAGATTGGCTCCACAAGCCAAGGAGAGAGGACTGGAACACAGGCTTCCTTCACACCACTCTGAAGGAGTGACTTGGGTGACATCTTTTCAGAGTTCTCATGCATAAATAGTAGGCATAAATCAGCTGAGGTGAACTTTGCCTACATGGGGCATAGTTCGAAGATTTTCTGGTAGAGGTCACGGAAAGTTTAAAGGTCACCAGATTTCCACTGTGATTGGTTGACTGGAGGCCAAGCAGGGGGCCATCCAATCACACGTGACATGGGGTGCCTTAGTGACAGGCCTCCCTGCTTTGCATTTTATCCAATCAGATATGAACATTGCCCGTGACGTCAGAGAAGGCAGGGAGTATAAAGTGGGCCAACGGCCCCCCCCCCAACTGCCGCACTGTCCTTCCCTTTGAGCTGTGGGGAAGGTGATTCCGACATGCATGAGCCTTCGTCTGAGATGTCTGAAGAAAGCCTGGCCACCAAGGAAGCCGAGTCCTCCGAAGCTGAGCCGAAGAACCCGAAGCAGAAGACACTGAAGCGCCACCGCCGCCGCCACTCTGATGGCTTCGACAGCTTTGCCACCTATTTCCCCAGGGTGCTGAAGCGGGTCCACGAGGGCCTGAGCCTCTCGCAGGAGGCCGTGAATGTCATGGATTCGTTCGTCAAGGACATCTTTGAGCGAATCGCCAACGAGGCGGCACGCCTTGTCCGCTCCAGCAAGCGCTCCACCCTCAGCTCCAGAGAGATCCAGACCTCCGTGCGCTTGCTGCTGCCTGGGGAGGTGGGCAAGCACGCCGTGTCCAACGCCAGCAAGGCCGTCATCAGATACACCACTGGCAAATAAGCTGCCTCCGGACCACCTGAGCATCGCAAACCAAAGGCTCTTTTCAGAGCCACTCGCTTGGCGGGAAAAGACTTGTAGCTCTGAAGAGTCCGATCCACTCTGGGTTGTCGCCCTGTGCCATGAGGGAAATACCATAAACCTCATCCACTCGCTTGAGTATATGTCTGTAGTGCCATTCATTCCACAGAGAATCGCAAACTAGTCTTAGACAAAATGCACCTTGTCACTTTCCTAAATGGTCATTTCTATTCGTGGTTTCTCTGTCAGACATTTTAGGGATCTTTATGGTCAAAATTCTTTCCATAAAAGATTCATTGACCATTTTTATTTTCATTCTCGCAGCTGTATATAACAGTGTCGTCCAGAGATTTTTATGTGGGATATAGTAACCGAGAAAGTGAAGTAGCAGGGCTTCCCTGGTGGCGCAGTGGTTTAGAGTCCGCCTGCTGATGCAGGGGACAGGGGTTCGTGCCCCGGTCCGGGAAGATCCCACATGCCACAGAGCGGCTGGGCCCGTGAGCCATGGCCACTGAGCCTGCGCGTCCGAAACCTGTGCTCTGCACCGGGAGAGGCCACAACAGTGGGACGCCTGTGTACCGCCAAAAAAAAAAAAAAAAAAAAAAGGGAAGTAGCGGACATGAAAATCTCACACATTCGTACGCCCTTAACATATCTCAAATCTGAATTCAGTTAACTACATAAAATAGGACCCAAACACAGAGTAAAACTAAATAATTTATTTTTCTAGAATCAAGCACCAAACCTCGTGAAATTACTATTCTACATAATTCTGATTTCTCTGATTTTATTATTTTATACATAAATCTTTTCAGTTTTTATCTAGAAATCTTGACTGAACTGCAGTTCTGCATGGATGATGAGATCATCCAATGACAGCAGCTGTAGCCACAGTCTCCAGAGCAGGAACCAATGAGGGACTGAGAGCCCGTGAGCCAAAGCATTTGGCCCAAAGTGGTGGGGTGACCAGGGCTGAACCAATAACAGCTTTCCTGTGATACTCAGCCGGGAGTGAGCGGTAAGGAGATGTGATAGTTTCCCTGTGTTTTTCCCTTCAAGTACTTGCTTTTAACCATGGTGATTTAAGTACACACATCCAGATCTGGTAGTGGGACATGTCTCTATCTCCTTGCATGAAAATAAGAGGGAGAAGTTCAGCAATTAAGAGAACTAAGATGACTCCTTCCCCTACCTCAAGTAATTTCAGTGTTAATGATTATAATAATATTTATTGAATTTAATATCCATTGTGTTTTCTTCTTGGTGCATTGCCTTTTCTTCTAATCTTTTTCTAAAAATATGTTGCTGAATTTCAAGTATTTGTTGATTTTCCTAGTGAGCCATGGCTCACTAGGAAATTGATTTCTAATTTCCTACATCATTGGAGAAAGAGAACACACTCTATGATTTCAATCCTTTGTAATTTACTATGGTTTGCATTAGAAATTAATATTTCAGTGTATTACAATCTATTCATTCTGCACTTTTAAAATAAGCAACAACGATATGCTGTACAGCACAGGGAAATATAGAAATTATTTAATCATAACTTTAAGCAGTATAATATATACAACTTTTGAATCACTTGTTATAAACCTGAACTAATATAATATTGTAACTCACCTATACTTTAAGAAAAAATTTAAAAATTAAAAAGAAATTCTCAGTACCCCTGGATTAGGATGTACAAACCTGTGAAGGATGTCACTCTCATCCAAAGAGAGAAAAGCTAGATGAACTGCAAAATACCAACCTTTTCTTGAACCCAGTTTTAGTGATTTCTCTATGTCAGGCTTTATAGATTTCTATGAGGTCTAACATATTTTCCTATGAATTTCATTTCCCAATTTATTCTCATCCTCGTGTGAGTGTTTTATGGAAATTTCAGAATTATTTTATGTGTGATTTGCAATAGAAAATGTGGAGGAGCAGGTATATTCATCAAGTACCCCTATTATACATTATTAACATATCCCAGTTTAAGCATACATTTAAATATATAAATGGGGACTGATATATCTTACAGAAGTGGCAAAACAAAATCTTCACAAACATTTCACTTTTCTAATTCCCTGGTTGTTGAAATTACTGGAAATATCCCTACAGATGTATCAATCAATTCTTTCCTAGTAGACAACCTTTCCATCTTTAAAACACAAACTTTCATGACCTGCAATTTTATATCCATTGGAGAGTGTCAAGTGAGGGGAGCTCAAG